GTTAAATGTTACTTCGAAATTTGCTCCAGAGTTCGGTATAAATGCGAAAAGTATGTTGGATGGGCTGAACAGAATTCGTTCCAAGAGCATCGTGCAAACACGTGGACTTATCTCGTCTTATTAGCAGAAGCATTGACTTGACGTTAGCATGAATTCACATAATGCTAAATGTCGTTCCTTGTTACATATTCGTTCCCTCAAAATACACTATAAACATAGTCGAAATTAATTTTTAGATAAACTATGGTGTTCTGTCATGATCGTTCAATGTTGTTTCACGAAATTATCATTAACAAATTTTTATCACTAATATTTCAATTCAAAAAATTTTCCATCATTTTGTTTTTTTTTTTGTCAAACTCTTAATTATCCACATTGTTACATTTCGTTTATGAACACTGCAACACGTGTGTCTGACAAAAAACCATTCATACGTTTAATTGCACACAACATTCGATCATACGTAATGCAAAACTTTCGCAAGTGAAACATACACGTGCATTGTTTTTCAGGTACTCCCCCCAAAAAAAGACAAAAAATGAATTTGTACACAGATAAGAAACTACCAAAGTCTATTGTAATAGATAATAATCTTGGCTTCTATTCTCGTTGTTAATGCTCGTAAAATATGATGCAGGCATGCTTTTCCATTCATCCAGGGGCTTTCACGCGACGCGTGCTGCAGCTTAATAATTCTCTGAGCTGAATAACTCGAATATAACGATTCACAGAGTTCGTTCGAGAGACACTGTTCTCAACGGTTCATTGCTATGCAAAATACACCGGCGTTTATAGTCGCAAGTCATTCAAGTGTTGAATAACTGACAATTTTTCATTTACTTTCATTGTAGTATTCCACGTCGTATTTGGACAGGTTTTCGAAACTATCCAGCGAACATTGTTTACCGAAAGTTCACACTGGTCGCTCCTCTTCTTCTATTCGCATTTAAAAAACGTTTGACTATTAAATGTTCCTTCTGCATCGTTGTATCGGTATACCTTATCTCACATGCGTAAGTAAAAATTATTATCGCTTGTGTATAAATTTTTAATATCGAATATTGATTTTTTCTTGCGTCACTCGATGAGTGGAAAACTTTAGAACAGAAATAATGGTTGACAATAAGGCAGATATTAATAATTAATAGTAACGAAAATTTCTCATTTTCTGCTGTTTTTCTTTGTAAAAACGATATTTAGAATAAATTAATTTTTCTCTTTCTTTATCGTGGAATATTAAAAAGTTCAAATTGAAAAAGAGAACTGAAAAATTTTCTATTCATTTCGTCTCGATGAGCAATTCATATTGTTTTCAAATTAAAATTTTAAAAATTTTGCAAAAATTAAAAATAAGAATTTTAAATTTCAAACTTCCGTATATTCGTCGGTTGTAAAAATTCTAAAGTGTTCGTTATTCGATACTACTCGATATCGTGAGTTTTCTTTAGTCGTATATCATATCTCTTTAGAGCGAAAATGGTAATAAAAAATTTGTGAAAAATTCCTGTACTAGCACGGTCATGAGTCAGACACGTTTCTCTCCCTGTTGGATCGTTCGTCCGTGTCGTACGATGCTCTGTGATTCGTTCTAATTTTGGTGCACCGCCAGTGACCGTAACCTGATTGGCCAGGCGCACGTGGTACGATCACGTTAGTTCACGTAACTGGATAGTATGCCTCTTAAATATGTTTCTTGAATCCCGACTAATCTGCAAAAATCAAAGTTCGCGCGCGTGGAATAGTTGTTTACGCTTTCCGTTCGTGGCACGCTTATGTAATGTCAGAATGTATAGACAATGTATAGACGTGTATTTTTTTTTTTTTTTTTTTCTTCTTATTTTGTCACCTTTCTTATTATGACGGATGAAACGATGTGCATACTTGTAAGAATGGAAATCATTGATTGCATTCTATTGCATTGTTCGATCTACACTTTTTTTTTTCCTACGAAGATGAATTGTTATTTTCATACAAGATTCGGTATTGATAGAAATTTTTCAACGAATAAGAATTTTTCGTTAAATCGTTCGAGTATATTAATTTTGGAAATTAATAGTTATGTGTGTATTAATTCTCAGTATTATGTAACAAAGTAGAAATTATTGACGTCTATAAAGATACTACAAAAAATTGATTGAATAAACCAATGGTAGAATTTTTTCCTTCTTCTCGCTTGTTCAATTATTCATGTGCAAAAGAAAGAAGAAAAATTTAAGAGGTATTATAGTGTCTTCTAATTAATAATTGCAATATGATAAATTAAAAAGAACATCTAGGAACAAACATATTTTTCCCCTCGTAATCAGTCTGGTTTGTAAATTTGTGGCGATAGCGAATTTTTATATAACTTGCTATTTCGATTCCGTGAATAGCGTATACTGGATTACGTGATCCTATTAAAGATTTATTTTTCTTTTTTCGTATGTATGTATAATGAATTGCTGCTAGTACGTCGATCTTGACCTTATGAATAGTAGAAGGAAGAAGTATTCTACAAGCAATGCTTCATTAACAGTAAGTAAAAGCATGTATAATAAAAGTATCTTCACATGCTCGAGGATTCTGTGTATGGTCGTTGAAGTATTGTAAATTACAGTTCATTCGAGGTAGATTTTACGGTCAAGTTTCGTATTATGGTGACTGAATTCCGTATTACAAACCTCTTCTACTGAATTTTATGTTACTGCAAATTTCATTTTACAGTAAAATTCTATATTGCGAATTTTACTTTATAGTGAAATTCCATATTATGAGTTTTACTCTACGGAGAAATTTCATAATACGAATTTCTCTGTAAAGTGAAATTCCATATTGCAAATTTCACTCTACAGTGAAATTCCATATTATAAATTTTACTTTGCAGTGAAATTCCATATTGCGAATTTTACTTGACAGTGAAATTCCATATTGCAAATTTTACTCTACAGAGAAATGTCATATTACGAATTTCTCTGTAAAGCGAAATTCCATATTGCAAATTTCACCTTGCAGTGAAATTCCATATTACAAATTTCACTCTACAGTGAAATTCCATATTATAAATTTCACTCTACAGTGAAATTCCATATTATAAATTTTACTTTACAGTGAAATTTCATATTGCAAATTTCATTTTGCAGTGAAATTCCATATTATAAATTTTACTTTGCAGTGAAATTCCATATTACGAATTTTACTTGACAGTGAAATTCCATATTGCAAATTTCATTTTGCAGTGATATTCCATATTATAAATTTTACTTTACAGTGAAATTTCATATCGCAAATTTCATTTTGCAGTGAAATTCCATATTGCAAAGTTCACTCCACAGTGAAATTCCATATTGCAAAGTTCACTCCACAGTGAAATTTCATATCGTAAATTTCACGTTACAGTGAAATTTCGCTTTACACTGCAATACTACATTCCAAATTTCTTCTACCGAATTCCATATTCAGCCGACTACGTTGTGTGCGTGAGATGATTTTTAAACGATGAATAGGATTACACGATTTCACTATATATTTATTCAGAGAAGAAACCATACTGTCGTCACGAAAACTCTTTGCAAAAATGTAACAAATAGTGTTTATTTAACGTCATCGTAGCTGGCTACGTCAAAGGAGACAATTATGAAAATATTCTAGGTCGCGGTATACGTTTAAGAAACATAAAACCTGAACTTTGAACTTGTTCTACAAATTTACACGTGTAGCTCTATTTCCTTTATTCTAAGCAACATGGTCAAAACGACGGTTAATTATTATCTTACAAGGAGATGACAAGAACTTTTAAATCTGCACGGACTTCATTTTACGCGCATTCGATGTCTAAAATCTATAGCAAAAAAAAAGAAAATTCTAAAAATATTTGCACGTATGGCCGTTGGTTTTCAAGAAAATAGCCAAAAATTTCGATAAATCGAAAAGAAATAATTTATGGAAATAAATTGTAAAAATAAAGAAATACATAAAAGAAAGACGGAATATGAAAAACAAATAAGAAAATAAATTTGATGTGCGACAATAAAGTAGTAATCCATTATTAATCGTTTATCCATTCAATTAAGATTACTTACTGCTACCTGATGTTTCGAGATTCTTCGCTAATTTCTCGAAAACATCAATTACATCAATCGAGATTTCAGAGTTCTTGCTATCTTTCTACTAGAAAACATTAATTTATACCAATGACCGCATTTCAATAAAACATCAACCTTATCGCGAGACATTCCAAATAGAATTATACGGACTACATACACTGGAATACGATTAAATTCTATTGTAGTATTCTTAATAAATACGACGGTCGTTTGAATCGAAACGATAGGTCGTAGAGAACAATAATTTGTACCAATGAAATAATGTCTCAATAAAAACCAACCGTATCAGGAGATATTTCAAAAGTAGAATTAATCGAGATACGATCGAAATTTCCTCCATTGTAGTATTTACAATTGACAAATCGATTACACAGAAATAGGTTCATTAACACTTTCAATTTATCAATTAATCTCCGCGATATCTTAACGCATCTTACGATCTTTCTTAAATAGAAAAAGAAAAAAACAAGCATTATCGTGTAAACGTTAGACAACATTATTATCGCTAATGGTACTTGAACAAATTTTTCGTTCATTTCAGAATGACGTATGCACGACAGAATTGGTGGAATATATTAATCCAATGATGTTACTTTTCAGGGAGGGCAACGATCCGGACGATTATTCGCGGCTGACTTACAGAAAACTGCTGGAGGAGGTATGCCGATTCGCGAATGTTTTGAAGTCGAAAGGAGTGACGAAGGGGGATCGTGTCGCTATTTACATGCCGATGATTTTGGAACTTCCAATCGTGATGCTCGCGTGTACAAGAATTGGCGCCGTACACAGCGTAGTGGTAAACAAATCTCTGTTATTTTCAAATCTCTGTTGACCTGGCTAAAGACACTTCACATAAGTAAACGATCGTTTGATGTAATAATTAATTTCACGAGTCATTTATTTACACGAATTTAACACGATAGTCGTGTAACTTTCAGCTATCGTTCGATTTGAGATAAATTGGAGTGAAATTAAGACCAATCATGCTAACCCCGGCGATTTGGGTCGTAAATATTTTGCTTTACTAAACAGGAGTTGGAGATAATTTTTGTTTTGAATACTCCATGCAGATTAGACGAGTGTAAAGAATGTGTACTGACTCGTGTCATCGTTTTATTCCATTATTGATGAGATCTATTTTTATAGATGGATTTAATATTAGCAGTGAAATAAAGAAAATAGTATAGACAGTTTTTTTGTAATTATCTGTAAAAATGTAAAAACTTAGGAGAACGTAGATGATTTCGTCGAAAAGAAGAACATCGATGTACTATATCTTTTAATGTGTATACTTGTAATCAGTTCGGAGGATTCTCGTCGGATTCCCTGGCGGAGCGTATCCTGGATTCGAAAGCGAAAATTCTGGTCACGGCTGATGGTGTATGGAGAGGAGAGAAGCTGTTGCTTCTAAAGACTATTTGCGACGAGGCGTTGGGTAAAATCAGAAAGCACGGCCATGTGGTAGAGTGTTGCGTAGTAATCGCGCATCTGAAGAGAGTAAGCTGTCCACCGACTAACAAAGCAGACACAGGTAAGTGAAAGAAAGAACTTTGTTAGGTGTACGATAAAATACGATTGCCATAGTCACGATAATCGATTAAATGTAATCGAGTAAACGTAGACAGAGATCGTTTTCGAAACGTGATCGTTTTGTTAAACATCTTCACTTGTATCACACGGAGAATGAGAAATGATCATTTTTATCGATGAGCTATATTCGACAGAGAAAACGTAAACGTAAGATCGTGTTGAATAATTTTGTAAATAATGTAACAGGGAAAACGAATGGAGTGAATGGTGCAAGCGATAGAAATAATCAGGAACTTCCTCAAATCCCATGGGATGATGATCGAGATGTTTGGTGGCACGAAGAAATGGAAGAGGTGGAGAGCAGGTGTTATCCTGTTTGGATGAACGCGGAAGATCCTCTTTTCATTTTATACACGAGGTAATTTATACACGGTGAAACAATATTTGCGTATCGTCTTCTTCATTTTTATGCAAATAATTTCAATTGTTTTCCTTTGCAGTGGTTCGACGGGAAAACCGAAAGGTGTTCTTCATACCACAGGCGGTTACTTAATTTACGCAGCTACAACGTTTAAGTATGTTTTCGATTATCATCCTGGTGATGTATACTGGTGTACAGCTGACGTTGGTTGGATCACTGGTCATACTTACGTCGTGTATGGTCCATTGGCGAATGGAGCTACTTCTATTATTGTAAGTTCCATGGTGTTCTATCCATCGTTTGATTAAAAGAGTGATTATAGTCGCTCACGATACAATCACCTTGCTTTAATAAACCATAGTAACATGGATCGTGTTCATTTATGATTCATAGTTCGAAGGTACGCCGTTTTACCCACAAAACGATCGATACTGGTCGGTCATCGACAAATACAAGGTTACGCAATTTTATACGGCGCCTACTGCAATCAGATCGCTTATGAAGTTTGGCGATGATCTTTTGAAGAAGCATGATTTATCTAGTTTAAGAGTAAGTTACGATTTGAACGTTTAGAATCGAGCTGAACATATGGATGTAACGTGATTTTAATGTAATTTTTATGTTAATGTATTGAAAGTGTAAAATAATTTGTCGCGTTAGATTTTAGGTTCGGTAGGAGAACCGATAAATCCTGAAGCTTGGCTGTGGTTTTACAATAAAATTGGTCATGGAAAATGTAGCATAGCTGACACGTTCTGGCAAACGGAAACTGGTGGCCACGTTATCACTCCTCTTCCTGGTGCTACGCCAATGAAACCAGGCTCTGCAGTAAGTCGTTGTTTTGCGTTTCTTGGTATTAAATCGATGTATCGTGTAATTAATTGGTTTAATCTTTTTCCTGTCAGACGTTTCCATTCTTTGGCGTTTTACCAGAAATTTTGGACGAAGATGGTCATCTAGTCGAGGGAGAAGGAGAAGGATACCTTGTTTTCCGTCAACCTTGGCCTGGAATGATGAGAACTCTTTACGCAAATCATGAACGCTTCAAGAGTACATATTTCGATAAGTTCTATGGATACTATTGCACGGGAGACGGTAGGTTATTGATCTTTATTTCAAATTAAATAGTTGCAAGACTGAAACGAAGTGGGAGATTATTTGGCTAAAGGACTTCTGAAGTCGAGGCCAGCATATTTTGCATCTTTTCCAAGTTCCTCTTCGATTCTCAATATCTGATTGTACTTGGCAACTCTCTCGGATCTACATGGTGCTCCAGCTTTAAATTGTCCAGCAGACAATCCGATGGCTAAATCAGATACAAAGTTGTCCTCAGTTTCAGCTTGACAAGCTGTCACGATATATCCCCAATCGCTGATCCTTGCTACTTTTGCGCAATTGATTGCCTCCGTGACAGTTCCAATTTGCGACATTCTTAATATAACAGCATTCGCCATTTGTCTCTCGATTGATTCCTCGATTCTCTCGATATTCATCGCTGTTAAATCGTCTGCAACGATTTGGATCTCTTGATCGGCCAATTGGAGCCAACCCTCCCAGTCATCTTGGTCGAACGGATCTTCGATCGAGACGATAGATGGAAATTCTGAAAATAACTCCAAGTACTGATCCTTAAGTGCTTCTGCTTCCATGTAGTCGTCAGGATCAGACTCTTCTGTTTTGAACGCTAAATCGTATCCACCTATCGTAAAAAGAACATTATTAAACATTTGTTAGATGATTCGTATTTTATAGATTATGTTTATTAACCTTCTTTATAAAAGGCGCTGGCTGCCATGTCCAGAGCTATTTTAATTCTCCCCTCGTATCCTGCTTCTTTTATGGATTCATCTAATAGCAATACAGCCTCTTTATCCTCCTCTAATTCTAAAGGAGTAAAAGCGCCTTCATCACTGGTCGGAAGTGGTAATTGAATCTCTTGAGCAGCGGCGATCTTCTGCTCAAGTACTCTGTACACCTCTGTGCCCATCTTCATAGCATCAGCGAAACTTTCAGCTCCTAATACGATTGTAGAATGAAACACACACTTACTGGCTAGATATTCATCAAGAAATGTGTATACCTATAGGTAAGATCATAAATTCTTGACAAGGTATCGTGTTATTAGCGTGTCTGCCACCACTGATCATGTTAAAACTCGGAACTGGCAGATAAAGTTCTCCATTTTCTGCTAATTCTGCAATATATCTATCAAAACGGCACAAAACGTATTTAACAAATGCTTATTACTTAACCCTGGAATATTAAGATTAATTTTTTGTTACATTAATGTTAACACAGGGCACACTGTATTTTTTTAAAAATTCAAAACATCGGTTAAATCTTTAACTATTGAATATTACTATTTCAACGTTGTTCAAGAATTACCTGTAAACTGGAAGTCCTTTCTTTGCGGCACCAGCTTTGCAGCAGGCGATGGAAACACCAAGGATTGCGTTCGCGCCTAGTTTTGATTTATTCTCAGTGCCATCTAATCGATTTAGCAAGCTATCTATTTCCATTTGCTGGCAAGCCTCCAGCCTCGACTTCAGCAGTTGCGGTGCAATTATGTTGTTCACCACGTCAACAGCTCTGAACACCGATCGTCCATGATACATGGCTTCGTTTCCATCTCTTAGCTCCTGAGCTTGATTAGGGCTTGGTATTAGAACAGCCGGCACCGAGGATCTTAGTAATCCAACGTCTGTGATTATGTCCACTTCTAAAGTCGGATCACCCCTTGAGTCGAATATTTGACGAGCTTTAATCTTCTGAATCGGCATTTTCTATATTCTTGCAAATAGAATTGTCTCAAAAATTGTCAGGATATGGTCTTTTTATTAAAGAAGAATTAAAAGGATTTTAATATGAAAGATGCATGATTTTCTGTTACTAAAAGTTTTGAAAAAATATATTTCTCTAAATTAAATTATAGTTGTAGCCATTTTAAACATAAATAGTCGAAGCTCGATATACTGATGTTTCTTTTTAATTTTCTTTATAGTATGTACTTTTTTTTCCTTCTTTTTTATCATACAAACAACAAAAAATTCTTCTTTAGGATATATATTTAGGATATATATATACATATATTTGAATTGGAATATCAGGAATTTGTATAACTTACATATTTAATATTCAATTTCAGGTGCTAGGCGTGATGCAGATGGTTATTTCTGGATAACCGGCCGTGTTGATGATATGTTGAATGTTTCTGGCCATCTTATGTCCACGGCGGAAGTGGAGAGCGTATTAACCGAACATTCTTCAGTGGCTGAGGCTGCGGTAGTTAGTAAGTCACATCATGTAAAAGGACAATGCCTTTATTGCTTTATTACTCCTAACGAGGGTGCCGCATTCGACAAGAAGCTTCAAGATGATCTTAAAAAGAGAGGTAAGCATGGTAATAAATTGTTACCGTTATTATTAAACTATTGATTGCAATGAAATTTCTCAAACCATCAGCAAAAAGTATTTTGTCTTAATTTTTAACGCAATTGATATTATTTCAATACTACCGATACTATTAATACAATTTAATATTAATTGAAATGTGTCATTAACAGTGCGCGATAGAATCGGTCCTTTTGCTCAACCAGACGTCATTCAACATGCGCCAGGATTGCCAAAAACTCGATCCGGCAAGATCATGAGACGTGTACTTAGGAAAATTGCGGCAGGTGATAGAAATGTCGGTGACATATCGACGTTAGCCGACGAGACGATCGTCGATGTTCTTTTCCAGTTGAGGCCGAAAGTTTAAGGAAATTCCGTCGACGTAGCGATCTTCAATGAAAACGTAGTTGCTTAGAAATGAATGATAAAAATGACACGCTTCTGGTAATCGTTAAGCGAGCAAGACTTTCGAGTCGTAGCCATTGAAAAGAATCACGCTAAAAAAATTATTGTTAAAACTCAGAGGAAAAGTGTAACTTTGCCGTGGTGCGGAGAAGAATAATTTTTATCAGCAGAATGGGGTCGGGCTCTGAAGTAGTGTCTCGAGAACGAAACTTCCGTTTTATACATTAGAATTTTATAGGCAATTATTGCGAGGTAATAGTTACTACTTTTCAACCGAGCATCGTCGGTGTAGCATATTTTGCTTGAAACGTTCTGTTTAACATGTCTGTTTCAAAATGAGAAAATTATTGTAACAGTTTTTAACTACTGTTCTTTTCTTTTTTTACTTAAAAGAAAAAAGCTGCGTGTTATGAAAATGCTGAAATGCCACGTAACTAATTTAAAAAAAAAAATGACACGAGATAATCACTAAGAACGTAAATCGAAGATATACTACAGTATCCTAAGAAAAAGCTGCAGCGACGTTAAATCTATTCGCGATTTTTCAGAGATCGATTATAAATATATATATTAATCGTTGCGCATCGACTTTATGGCAGCAATATTTTGTGGATATAAGCGTATATGAAAAAAAAAAAAAAATAGAAAGATGTACAACAAGTGTTCGTCATTGTTGAAAACTTTTATAATGTGCATACCAGTGATGCACATGTTCGAACGATTTGTCTATATTAAAATATGAAAGTATCTTGAGAGCTTTTGAAAATTTTCCAAAAAAAAAAACATTTGACGTTTATTAAATTTGACTTTATTAAAAAGTTTATGAGAAATCTGATGATGTCAGATTATGTTGCGAGTGTATGATCTTTCAGGAACGTACCGCGATACAAGAATTTAGTTGATTCTCGTTCGAAAAGCATAATCGGTTGTAAATTATTTTTAGATCTCGTGAAAGTTCGTTTTTTTTTTTAATCTCGTTCATTGCCTCGTTACGTTTCCAACGACTTCCGATAACAGAAACGCTCGTGCATATTTATATTCTAATTACTTCATTCCGGTGTTTGTTTTACTAGCAGTGTTGGAAGAACTCATCGTTTCTTGGAAGTGTACATGCGATTATAAAAGTACTGCAGTCCATAGCGTATTTAAAGAAAAAAAAAACAAAAAGAACGAAAATACTATAAAGAAAGTTGTAAAATCATTAGCTATAGCAATAAGATCTTTTGTCCATAACTATCGATTTACTTTAGGGATACATCTAAGAAAATGTTTTAAAAAACATATAGAGAAAGAAAGAAAGAAGGAAAGATTATTTAATTTTAGCAAGGAGATATTTTTTTTACAATGATTTTCCTGTTTCACTAGCGGAAACGGGAGACCTAAGTATACGCACGATCATTAACGCACTTTATAAAAAAAGGAAGTCGGCATTTTTCGTAAGTTTTTAGAAGGCTGGTTTTACAATTGTTATACTACACGTAAGGTGAGCCAAACGAAACGTTGCCTCGTGTCCCTAAACGGGGACATGTCACATACATATCATTCCTCGTGGAACAAATTAACTATAGGTGTGAT